GTACTGTTACCTTTAGCAGTAGTTTCAGGTCCAATGACACAGTTAAACATTTAAGTTGAAGACCAATCACTTAAAGATATTGAGAGTGCCCAGTATTTCTATAAGGAGTAATTTGTTTAAAAGGACACACTGAAATCTCTATCTTGCATAGTGTGTTCTGTATACTTTAACACATATATATAGCACACGGATTTGTCTTCGTAAAAGACCAAAGAAAATGTTTTTAAGTATGATAAACATAATGTAAAAACAAATAAGTGACAACTGAAAATATATGTATCCGAAAATAGAATTTTAAAAAGGTAAAACTCTTGAAGAAGGAAAAAGTGATTTAAATGGAAGATTTTTCTTGTGTGATTTTATGGTCTTTCATAAGGAATGAGGATTGCCACCCTGCATTTAAGGGATGTATTAAAAATCACAGAGCCCAAGAATCAATGGTTAAAAACACGAAGGGAAATACAAAGGAAAATAGTTTAATTTTAGAGCCAGGGAAGTTCTATAAGCTGGTCCTTTATACATCCACTCCAAGAATCAGAAGCATCAACAACAAACCAAACCAAGATGAAGAATTAACTAAATATACATAGAATTAATACTTAAACATACAGGCTCCATCAACTCAATGGTTACATTTTTTCCTTCTCCATCTGAAAGAATAAACATTTTTCCAGTGGGATGAATCTAAAAAAGAAACACATGATTAAAAAATGAAAATTGACCATTCTTTTCACCATTCACAAAAATAAACTCAAAATGGATCAAAGACCTAAAGGTAAGACCTGAAACCATAAGGCTTCTGGAAGAAAATATAGGCAGTACATTCTTTCACATCAGTATCAAAAGATCTTTCAGACACCAAGTCTTCTCAGACAGGGGAAACAATAGAAAGAATAAACAAATGGGACTTCATCAGACTGAAGAGCTTCTTCAAGGCAAAGGAAGACAGAATTGAAACAAAAAAAACAACCCACTAACTGGGAAAAAATATTTGCAAGTCATGTATCCGACAAAGGGTTAATCTCCATACTATGTAAAAAACTCACACAACTCAACAACAAAAAATCAAACAACCCAATCAAAAAATGGGCTGGGGACATGAACAGACATTTCTCCAAAGAAGATATATGGATGGCCAAGAGACACATGAAAAGATGCTCATCATCACTAATCATCAGGGAAATGCAAATCAAAACTACACTAAGATATCACCTTACACCCGTTAGAATGGCAAAAATAACCAAAACAAAAAGTAACAAATGTTGGAGAGGTTGTGGAGAAAAAGGAACCCTCATACACTGCTGGTGGGAATGCAAACTGGCGCAGGTACTATGGAAAACAATATGGAGATTTCTCAAAAAATTAAAAATAGAAATACGATATGACCCAGCCATCCCACTACTGGGTATCTATCCAAAGAACTTGAAATCAGCAATCCCAAAAGTCCCATGCACCCCTATGTCCATTGCAGCATTATTTACAATAGCCAAGACATGGAAGCAACCTAAGTGCCCATCAACTGATGACTGGATAAAGAAGATGTGGTATATATACACAATGGAATACTACTCAGCCATTAAATCGTCCCATTCACAACAACATGGATGGACTTGAGGGTATTATGTTAAGTGAAATAAGCCAGATAGAGAAAGACAGTCTCTGTTATGACTCCACTCATTTGTGGAAGTTAAATATGCAGACAAAGAGAACAGATTAGTGGTTACCAGGGGAAAGGGGGGTGGAGGGGGTGGGCACAAAGGGTGAAGTGGTAAACCTACAATATGACTGACAAACAACAATGTACAACTGAAATTTCACAAGGTTGTAAACCATCATAATCTCAATAAAAAGTTTAAAAAAATCCCACATAAACAAAACCTTTAAAATTTCATTAAGATAAAAATATTAAAAGTTTGACAAAAGATGAGCAGATTGACTCAAACTTAGTCCGTGTGTACAAAGCAACTGTTTTTGAACGGTTTATTTGCCTCAAATAAATTGTGTTACCATATCTGGTCAAACGACACCTAGTTAAATTTGAATTTCAGATAAACAACAATACTTTTTTAGTACAAATATGTCCTGTATTTTTATTTGCTAAATCTGGCACCCCTGTGCTAAGAACAAATTAAAGAACGTCCATACTACGTAAAAGTGAAATCTGTTGGCACTCATGATTTAAATTGTACATATGGCACTAAGGGTATGTTTTAAAAATTAGGCATGATGAAGCAAAGAAAGAACTGGTTGTCAGATGATCTCGGTCTACTCCTGTGTGACAGCTGCGAAGAGAGCAGTCAGCTCTGGCTCGAATCCCAGCTTTGCTACCTGCTGTGGCGTTGAACATTTTAAGCATACAACACTCCTACCTAGTTTCCCTGTGAAGCTGGAATAACACCTATTTCATGAAGAGGATGTGTGGCTGAAATGAACTGCTAAATAAGCCTTTATATAATTTTTCCCCCCTCAGCCTTCTTGGTTCACTGATTCCGAGACTTTGGGCCTGTTCCTCACCAGCAGAATGAAGGGGCTGCACTCGGAACACTGGTGTAAGATGACAGACTGCTATAAGATCTGGAAGGGACAATCAAGGAAGGTTTTATGGAGAAGTGACTTCAGAGAAAACGAGGTTTGAGAGAGAAAATTGCATAAGATAAGGAAGGAAGAAAATTACACTATCAAGTCTGGCTAAACTGAGAAATCAGAAGGTAACTGTGGGAGTCACGGCTATAACTTCCTTTATGTAAACACAAACAACGGGGAGCGGGGGGTGGCGCGCTAGGATTTAGAACGAAGCGCATTCGAAAACATAGCGATTTCGCGCCACAACAGAGGCGCCAAAATGGGGCTGCAATGGCTAAAAACCGTGCAAAAAGTCCCCTTGTGCAAAATAAAGCAATCGGGAGGGCAGTGATGGTCTAAGGCTTTCTGTCCTCCTTCAACCTCCATTACCCCCCCCGAGGCCGCCCAGCGGTCACGGGTCCCTCCCACCGGCTACGGACCGGGGAGCCGAGGGCGGCGAGCGCGCGCACCTTTTCCAGTCTCCCTACGAAGCAGACGGGCCGATCGATGAACTGAGCTAGCAAACTGGCGTTGATGCGCGACTTGGGCAACTCCATCACGTCCGCCATGATTGCGCCGCAACACGCGCGGCTGGCGGGAAACAAGAGCACGAGGGAAACTGTGCGCCCCGCGGGCGTCTATGGGGCGGATTTCCCGGCACCAATCGGCAGAGACCAGCGCTCTCGCTCCGCCAATCAAACGCGCGGAAATCTCGATCGACATCGCAGGCTTCCCAAAAGGGACGGCGAAGGAGGGGATGCGTCCGGAAGTGGGGATCGGCTGCTTAGTGACGCGCGGCGTCCCGGAAGTTGCCCGGGTCCTCCGCAAAGTGGGCAGTGGAGGCCTGGCTTGGATGGGGCGGGGCTCCCTCTAGTGATCTCCGGCCTCCAAGCGGCGACTTGACCCCGGAAGCAGGGTGTCGGGCTCCGGTGCGGGTGCGGCGGGGGACAGCGTCTCGAGCCTCAGGTATCTCTTCTCGCGCGAGGCGCCGCAGCCTTGCTGTCTCCCCTTGTCCCCACCGGCGGATGCGGAAGAGAGGCGGGAGTTGGCGCCGGTCCCGCCGCGGCATTCTCAGTGCTGCGCACCGGCTGTTCGCGTTTCCCCGCCTCCCCTCTTCCCGGTTCTGCGTGGGAGGGGCGGGATTCTCGCTGAATGAAAGCTAGGGATCGGGAGTTTTTAGACAGTTGTCCTCCTGGAGACGAGTACTGGGGTGGCCGGTGATCTTCATCACCTTTGTCAGGCTCCTACTGCTCGGTGGCATAGGTTCGGTGATTTGCCGCCCAAGCTGCGTCACCTTCCATCCTCAGTTTCCCCATCTGTGGGAAGAGGAGTTGACTCGATTACCTCTACGACCTTTTCTAGCCCTGACAACCTGGCCATACTGCGGAGAAGCGGATTTTCTTAACTCCTCCGTGTTAACAGCGAACTGAAGTATTGGGGGGGTATGTAGGGGGAAAGACCGCTGGGCTAAGAGAGGAGTTGAATTTAAACAGCTGTTCGATGATAAGCAGGCGCGCTTCTCCTTGAGGCGTAATTTCCCCATCCGCAAAATGAGGGGTTAGATGACAATGTTTTGCAAGGTCCCAGCTGACTAACTTTTGTCCACGTGATTCACGACTCTTCTTAACTCCGCAGCAATCTTTTCCCCATTGCTCTCCACACCCCAGGACTCTGGAAGGGAGATCTGGAGGTGAAGAAGAAGATAACCTGTTTCAACGAGATTTGGGGAGATTCTCGAATCTGTCGCTGGGTCATATGGCTTTTGATTTTCGGGGCTTTATCTACCAGGGATATTCCAGAATGAGTGCTCATAAAAATACCTGCCAACGGTGTTGCGGAAATTGGAAAAAACTTTTTATTGGGATATTATTTTTTGGCAACTGAGTCTGTGATTTTTGCCTGAGGCCACCGCGTTGTCGCCGTTCAAATTCTGGTACCTAGCTGGAGTTGCCAGTTTAGTCCCGCTGTTGTCTTAAGCACAGAAGATCCTTTTTGAGACTTCACGCGGCAATTTACGATGGAAATCTAATGTATCATAATTAAATGATACTTAGCCTTCCTCAGCGTTTACATAGCACTTAATATATTTGTGTTTTAATTTTGCTGTCTCTTAAACAGATTTAAAGGATTTCGTTAACAGATGCAGGATGCATATCAGTTGGTGTATACAAAGGTGGTTGTATTAGTGCAATAAAAGCCTATTTTATATTTCTGCATAAAGCCTTAACGTCTTTTGCGCTTTAGCGTTGCTTTGGAAGACAAGTTGATGGTTATTATGTAGGGTAGAGCACACATGAATATCTTGAATAGCAATTTTTCTTTTCTTTCTTTTTTTTTTTTTTGAGGAAGATTAGTCCTGACCTAACTACTGCCAATCCTCCTCTTTTTGCTGAGGAAGACTGGCCCTGAGCTAACATCCATGCCCATCTTCCTCTACTTTATATGTGGGATGCCTACCACAGCATGGCTTTTGCCAAGCGGTGCCATGTCCGCACCTGGGATCTGAACTGCAGACTCCGGGCCACCGAGAATCGGATAGTGTGCATTTAGCTGCTGCGCCACCAGGCCGGCCCCAAATAGCAATTTTTCTTAAAAAGCAGTCCCTAAAGTACCAGAAGCTAATAGCATTGTTTATTACAGTTAAAAGGCCACTTTTACATACCAATGGCATTTTTTTTAACAGGAAGATGAGCAGGAAGATTTTAAAACAGCTTTTTGGATATTTTTTTAGAGACTTAAAATTTATTATGTAATATATAATGCACAGAGTGTGTGTATAGGTGGTATGTATAGTTTCCAGAGAAAATAGATGAACCCTTGTGGGCCTCTCATTCAGGTTAAGAAATGGAAATTTACCAGTTAGTAGTTTGCACTGCCTTAAGTCCTCCTCCCGACCAGCCAGAAACAGACACTATCTTGAAATTTGTGTTAAGCTCCCTGAGCTTGTCTGTATAGTTATATCTCACAGATAGGCATTCCTCAATGGCACGTTGTTTAATTTTGCCAATTTGACCTTTATGTAAATGGAACCATACCATATATACCTTCTGACTTGTTTCATTTGCTTGTTTTTGAGATTAATCTGTGTTGACACGTGTGAGTGGAGTTCATTCTTTTCACCCTGCTGTTTTGCTCTGTTGTTGACTGACCTTTCTGTTGTTTTTAGTTCCTTTCTGTTGCATGCAGGGCTGCGGTGAATATGCTTGTGCCTCTTTCTTGGTACAGCTGTGCAAAGGTCTGTCGGTAGAACTGCTGGAATATAGGGTGTGTATCTTCAGTTTTACTGGTAAAACCAAATATTTTTCCCAAGTAGTGGTACCAGTTTATCCTCTTATCAGGAGTGTAAGAGAGTTCCAGTTGATCTACGTTTTTGGTAACTCTTGAAGTTTTTTCCTCCTAATCTGATGGATACGAAATGATTTCTTATTGTGGTCTTAATTTGCTTTCCCTTATTACTAATAAGGTTGAACAGCTTTTCAAATATTTAATGGCCATTTGTGTTTACCATTTTTTGTCTTTTGCTGCTTTTTCTTATTGATTTTTGAGAGCGTTTTACATTTGTGTGGATAGTAAGGCTACATTTCTCAGTTTTGGGCCTGCCCTTCCTTTGTTCCTTTCTTTCTAAAGAGCTCCTACTTTTAATAAAGTTAAAACGCTTTTTCCCTTAAGTTTAATATAGTTGAAAAAGTCAATTTAAAAAATCTCATTTAAGGATCCTTAAAAATGTTTTAGTATTTTTGTCTTTCATGTTTAATATTCCATTATTTAGAATTGAATTTTTAATATATGTTGTCAGATCCAATGTCTTCGTCTTGTTTTCATTTCAGTTGTCCAGGCATTATTTATTGACTATGTCCCCTTCTTGCCACTGACCTTCAGTGTCACCTTAAGTTTACGTATGTGTATACGTCTGTTGCTGGGCTCTCAGTTCTGTTCCAGTGGTCTAGTTTTCTGTCCCCGTACCGGTATCCACTCTCATCAGTACTGTGGCTTTCTGATAACTTTTGATGTCTGGGGGCGAGTCCTTCTACCCTGCTGTGTTCTTCAAGAAATGTCTTCGTTGTGTTCTCAGCTCTCTGCTGCTCCATATAAAATTGAGCTTGTCAGGTTTCATGAGAAACTGTGTTGGGATGTGATCACAGTTGCATTGAAACCTTGCATTGATTTCAGAACAAGTAGCATATTAATGATAACTCTTACTATTCTTGAGCTATCGTGGCCCTCTTAGACTCTTTCCAAAAAGTTTCATAATTTTCTACATAAAAGTCTTCACTTATAGGTTAGATTTATTCCTACTTACCTTGTTGTTTTTGCTATTATAAATGGTATTAAAAATCTTTTTAATGATTTTAACTGACCGTTGCCTGTATATAGAAATATTTGACTTTCCGTTGGCTGTCCTGCTAAACTCTTATTTCTAATAATTTTCTATAAGATTCTCTTGGATTTTCTGATCATATGTGAATAACTACAGTTTTGTGTCTCAACAATTCTTAAGTATTTTATTTATTTTTCTTGTCTTTTGTCCAGGTTAGAGCTCCTATTGCCATTTTGAATATAGATGGTCTTTGAGTTAAGATGGGGTTTGACCGTGTAAGTAGTGTCTTAAATACACAAAGGCATAGTTTCACATGTCAGTGAAGTCCAGAGGCATGCAAACTCAGCATGTGGGAGTGCCCCTAAGACATCAGGAACCCAGATTCCTTCCATCTTTCACTTGTTTTATGCTCAGTATCTGGTTCTAGACTTGTCACTTCATAGGCCACTATAGGTGCTGGAGCATCAGCCATCTAGTCCCTGTTCCAGGCAGCAGAAATGTGGGCAGGCAAGAGGGTGTACCTTTGTGGGACTTAGCTCCCTTTAAGGAGCCTTCCTGGAGGTCCTTTACTACTTGAAGTTCTACTTATTAGGTTAAGGACTTTCCTTTCTGTTCCTAGTTTGATAAGAATTTTAATTGAGTCGTTATAGAATTTGATCAAATGCATTTTTTTGCCTTAATTGAGATGATTGAAATGAATATATTTTCCATTGTTCAACCATGCTCTCATTCCTGGAAGGAACACAAGTTGGTTATGTATATGATGTTTTATTATATATTCCTGGATTTGACTTGCTATTGTTATGTTTAGGATTTTTGCATCCTTGTTCCTAAGTGAGATTGGCCTGTGATTTTTCTTTCTTGTATAGTCTTGTATAGTATTATTAGGGTTATACTAGTCTCAGGAAAGGAGTTGTGGAGTGTTTCTTCTATTCTCTAGGATTCTGTGTAAAGTTGGAGTTATCTATTCATTGACTGTTTGGTAGAACTCACCTATAAAACATTCTGGGTCTGGTAGAGTTACCTGTACCTACTGCTTTAGGCATATCCCGTGAGTTTTCCTAAGTAGATGTTAATCATCAAGTTCTAAATATTTTCTAGTTTCCAGCATATTTCTTCTTTGACTCATGGGTTGCTTTTGTTTCCAAATGTATAGGTTTTATTTATTACAGTTATTTCCTGTTGTTAATTTCTAATGTAATGGCATTATCGTCAGATGGTATGTTCTGATACTTATTCTTTGAAAGTATATGAGACTTCCTTTAAGGCTTATCAAGTACATGGACAATTTTTGTAAATGTTTCATGTGCGCTTGTATTTTCCAGTTGTTGGATCAAGCTTGTTAATTTCAGCATTCAACTCTTTCTGTTTTCTTTTGTCTGATTAATGTCTCAATTGTTGAGATAATTGCATTAAATATTCTATAGATAGTAGCATTGGCAGTTTCTCCTTGAACTTCTGATGACTTGTGCTATATATTTTTGGAGATTTTGTCATTTGGTACATACAAGATGAAGATTATGAAGCAAAATGGTGAAATGAAGTAGTGCTTTTTGCCTTAAAGTTTGTTTTGTCTGTAGACAAATTTAGATATATCAGCTTTCTTTTGGTTAGAATTTATGTTTTTCCATCCTTCACTTCACCTAGCGGAGCAAGACCCGTGGGCTTGGATGGTCATTTCCTCCTCTCTTTGGTGGCTTATCAGAGAGCTGACTTGGCACGTCTCAGCTCGAGGGAAGACAGGCTGATACCAGCCTGGGGCCCCAGCAGCTCCCTTCTTCACAAGGCACTTCTTTAACCAGGATATTCTGCGATCACATTATTGCCCAAGTGTGTGGGGGCTGGGTTCCTCTCTGTGGGAACACTAAAGTATGGGGGATCATGGGCACTTTGCCACTTCTCTGCTTGTTACGTTTTCTCCAGTAAACCTTATTTGATATTTATACTGTGTGGTCCTTATGATGTTTGTGTCTGTTGGCCTGATAACTTTCAACTTCTTGGTGTCCATATGGTTTAGGTGTGTCTCTTGTAAATAGTGCAGATAGCTGGAGGTTTCGTTTTTCTATCTTTGGTCCGTTTACATTGATCGTGGTTACTGGTATTTTTGGGTTCCTTTCTAGAGTCATTTTGTGCTTCCTGTGTGTTCTGCTTTTTTTGTTGTTTATTTTTTTCTCCTCTGTTGCCTTCTTTTTAATTGACTTTTTGTTAGTGTTTTCCTCAGTTCCATTTTGTTCCTCTGTATTAGTGTGAATGTTACATGTTTTCTTTAAAAAATTTTTGTGGTCAACCATTAGCATGCGTGTTAAACTTATAGTCTAAAGTTATTTTACTCTGTGTCAAGATAAGACCCTATAACTCCATTTACCCTTTCCCAATTTGTATGCTGTTGTCTAGAGTTCTTGTTCTATCTTGATTTCTTGTAACCCCACAAATTAGGCATTATTACTGCTGTATGCAGTTAAGATTTGCTTGAAGAATATTTATCATTTTCTGTGCTTAACTATTTATTTTTACATCTCAACCTTTTTTCTGGTATTATTTCCCTTCTTTTGGGGGTACCTTCTTTGGAAGTTCTTTTAGTGAGAATCTTTGGTAGTAAATTCCATCAGTTTGTTTTTTTTCTGAATATGTTTATTTTATCCTTGTTCTCAAAAGATAGGTTTACTGTCTTTCTGTGATAGAGAATTCTAAATGGACAGTTAATTTCTCTCAAGACTGTGCTGATATTGTTTTACTCTTTTAATATTTACTGTCCTTTTCCTTTTTTTTTTTTTTTTTTGAGGAAGACTGGCCCTGAGCTAACATCTGTGCCCATCTTCCTCTATGTTATATGTGGGATGCCTGCCACAGCATGGCTTGCCAAGTGGTGCCATGTCCTCACCCAGGATCCGAACTGGTGAACCCTGGGCCACCGAAGCAGAATGTGTGAACTTAACCGCTGCGCCACTGGGCTGGCCCTTACTTTCCTTTTAAATTGTGATTCTGTTGTAAGCTTTAGTGTCTTTCTGCTTGATCCTCAGTTTATCTGGGTTCTGCAGTTTTACTGTGTAATGTATCCTGATGTGGATTTCTCCTATCTGGTTTGCTGGTGAATATTGCTGGTGAATTTCTAGTCTGAGTCTGGAAGCTTCACTGAAACCTGTCTGCCTTGCTGGTGTTTGAAATACTGATGGCATAGCTTTCAGCATCACCGTAACATGCAGCCACCACAGTATGACAACTGACAGATGGGTAGTGTGGTTCCCTGACCAGGAAATGAACTGGTGCCACAGTGGTGAGAGCGCCTAGTCTTAACCACTAGACCACCAGGGCAAGCCAGCTGGCTAGCTTGACTTAGCCTAAGGGTTCCTGACCTCACAAGGATTGAAGCTGTGAACGGGAAAGCTTTCAGAAGACAAGCTGTCTTCTGTCTCTTTTTGAGACCACCTTCTTTTCAGCCAGGCGTTTGTTGCTTCATTGTTTACGTAGACCCACATGGTTATCCCAGGCTTTGTGACCAGCTTTTGGGAGAATGTAATTTGCCTGCTCTAGTCACTTGACCATACATCTTCCAACCAGCTGTGGTGTGGAAGAGGACTTGGGGAGGACTGAGAACAAACGTGGCTACTGGGAGTCCGCTGTGTTGGAAGGATACCCAAGGGCATTGCAATAATTCATGCTGGAGATGCTGGTGAGGTGAACTCAAGCAGTAGCAGTAGGAATAGAGAGACGCTAAAAGGTTCGTAAGATATCATGAGGTTGCAGGACTTAGAGGTTGGTGGGCAGGGGGTGAAGGAAGAGGGTGAAATCAAGGTAACATTTATGGTTCTGTCTCTAGCGGCTGTTTGGAGCATCATGCTTTTTTCTGAGATAGAGGATAGAGGAGAAATGCATGTGGGGAAGATGCATTTAGATGGGAAGATGACTTAGGCTTTGATATCGAGGCAGTGTAGCACAGAGTGAAGAACGTAGACTTTGGAGCAGACAGACCTGGGTTAAATCCTGATACTTTCACTTAAGTGACTTTTGCACAAATTATTCATTCTTTCAGAGCTACAATTTCTGTGTTAACATGGGAGATAATAAAGCTTCACAGGGTTGTTAGATTGGGTATGTAAATTACTGAGCACAGTGCCTTGATACACTAAGTACTTAAATAAAAAATTGCAAACTTATGTAACTCTTCCTAGCATGACCAGATTGCCCTTAAGTATCCATTGGACATCTTAGTGATCATGACTGGAGGTAGTGGTGGGGGAAGAAAACCCCAGGGTGTTTCCCCAGAAGGAAGGAAGTGTGTGGGCTTGTCTGAGAGTGGAGATCCTGAATTCATTTGGGTGATGGTATGTTTTGCCCAGCTCTGCTCAGCAGCCCGGATGTAAGAAATCGTGTTCTCTTACAACCGTTTGAGGGTTACCAAGATGTTTTCTATACTTTTCAACAGTTTCTTATGGAAAATTATCATCAGAGAGCTATTCTTCCTCTTAGTCTTTGGGTCCACATTTTCCCTTCCTTATGTTGCTCACATTTTGGCGATGGCTTATTGAAGGAGATACTGGGTGGATGATGTTACCTTAGTCTTCTTCCCTGAACTTTCTGTTGCAGGCAGCTTCTTGTTTCCGTGTCTGGTCCTGGAAGACAGACAGATGCACATGTTCCTTGGCTTGTCCAGTTCCCAGTGGCTGACCGCCACTCATCATGTGTGGGTCTGCCCGGCTGAGACTGAGTCTGCTGTGACTTGGATTGTTGAGATCTCTCTATGAATTAAAGAATTAGGAGCAGTTTGTAGTTCTTTAAACATGAAAGTAGACTTCCTTCCTGTGCTCTGCTCGTGGAGCTTTTCTCTCTGGGACCCTGTGTTACAAGGTCTTCCTTGGACAGTTACAAACTGTTGCCCTCCTTCCTCTCTCCTGTGGCTTGCTCAGGCCAAAAGCTATAGTCTCTGAATGGAGGTGAAAGATCTTGTCTGGGAGGAGTAGGGATAGGGGAGGGCATCGAGTTCTGCCAGACTTTAGAGAGTTTCCATGCAGGCGGATGTCTGGCAGCCTATTGTTTTTCTGGTAGGTACAGCTCCTGTATTTTAGAATTAAGTTCAGGCAATGGGAATGGATGAAATGCTTTCCCCATCTTTGTGGTTTACTCTCCTGTTTTAGTTAGCTTGTTTATTCACTTATTCATTCATTCCCTGGACAGGATTTCAGAAGATGTAGCATATGGCAGAGAGTACAGGAATCAACTCTTGGTGAGTTGTACTTCTTGGTCAATCCCCACTGATCGTGAGTTCATGGGAATTTGATTCAGACCTTGGCATATGGTTGACAGAGCTATTGCCAGTTTTTATCTTGTGTTTTTTTTTTTTTGCTGGAGATTTGCGTTGAGCTAACATCTATTGCCAATCTTCTTCTTTTTGTATGTGAGCTGCTGCCACAGCATGACCACTGATGAGTGGTGTAGGTCCGTGCCCAGAAACCGAACCCAGGCCACCGAAGTGGAGTGTACTGAACTTAACCACTAGGCCACTGGGGCTGGCTCTGTCTTGTGTTTCTTTATGTGCATTTTGATGAAAAATTGGGAGGAGATAATGGGGCTGGCCCCATGGCCGAGTGGTTAAGTTCGAGTGCTCTGCTTCAGCGGCCCAGGGTTTCGCCAGTTTGGATCCTGGGCACTGACATGGCACCACTCATCAAGCCATGCTGAGGCGGCATCCCACATGCCACAACTAGAAGGACCCACAACTAAAAATATACAGCTATGTAACAGGGGGCTTTGGGGAGAAAAAGGAAAAATAAAATCATTAAAAAAAAAAATGGAAGGAGGTCAAACAGCCAGCTTTCCTGTTTACTCAGGAGTCTGAAGATAGTCTTAGACGGATAGCAGTCCTTCCTGACCTGCTGTTGGCAACTGTTAGCCACATGCGTGATGGTGCTGGTTTTACGCAGGACTCAGGACCGTGCTTTGTGCCCATAGGCATTATGAGAGGTGGTGGAGGAGACCAAGAGGCAGCAGGTGGACTGGGTAGTTCTTGAATTCAAAGAATGGGCCTTGTCTGGTGTTGTTTCTCTAGGGCCTAGCACCATGCTTGGCTGGTATTTGGCCTTCAAAACATGTTGGTTGAGTGAATTAAAAAGTGAACAAATGATTGAATTTTAGGAATTTGTTTTTATTTGGGGAGGAAGTAAATACTTGATTGTGCAGTTAGGTTGTATTGAAAGTCAAATAATGCAGACTTTTAGCGGGCAGTTTTGGAAGTGAATCCTTTTGGAAGTTGAATGTGATGGTTCCTGTTGTGTGTGAAATGTATTTAAGTGAACAAATAGAGTAACTTTAAAGACACACACTGAATAATGTTTTATTTTTTTCTTTGTTCATTCTAGGTTTCCCTGTGCTATAGAGAGTTGTAAAGAGGTGTCACCTCACATCGGATGACTTCCTTCTCCCTTAGGACATTATTTAAATGTGTTTACTCACCTCAGATATTTGTTTTATGTGAAGAGATGCTTTTTGTTAGAGTTGTCTGGAGTCTTTTTCAGGATTTTTTCTCATTTAAGAGGTGCAACACTGAATGCAGAGGGTAGAAATTTGTGTTGTATTGCTAGACAGCAGTGTTATTTAAGCCAAAACCAAAATATTTTTTTTTGTGGCAGTTGTGTAAGATTGTGTTTGTAACTTTTCTAAAATGTAAAGCATATCATTGTATCATTAATTTAGAAGACCTGGGATAACATTAAAGCCTCTAAATTACCTTCTTGGTCAATGAGTGAGACCCAGATGATATAAATCATAAGTACGGCTTGTTTATAAGCTCTCACAAGGCAGCAACTTTATCTTCTAAATTTCTTTATCTCCCTACTATTTAGCATCCATCTTTAGGAAAAAAAAAAAAAACCACTATGGTTTTCATGTGTACTGCATTAAAAAAAGAGAAGTGGTTTTTTTTCTGTTTTTTTTTTTTTTAATAAAACTTCTTGAAATTAAGATGTCTTCTGACTGGAGTGAGTCACATACCGGGTGATCACGCCCATCCACAGAGGAGTAGGGTACAAGAGAGAACTATCTGGCCCCAAATGCTAAGAGTGAAGAGATTGAGAAACCCTGGTCCAATGTAATGGGAGATTCCCCTCTTAAATTAGTAGAATTAGGGGAGACTTTATTATGTTGCTCTGTTTTTCATTTTATGAGTAGAACACAGAGAACTAGAGGAAAAAAGCCGTGAGTTGTTATCACTGCCGGGCCACCATTCTTGATTCTGAAAATAATAGGGTAGTTAATTAAAAGGAAAACAAACAAAAAATCCCCAAATCCAACAACAACTACAAAACTACACAAAACTTCCCTGATGATTCTAATGTGGACTTTGGGAGTCATATTTATTTACAAAGTAACAGAGGAGAGTAAAACTGTGTGAGGTTTGTTTTACTTTAGTGAGACTGTCTGTGTTCATGATGGAAACAGGATCCGAGAAGAATGAAGGTTCTGTTCTAGAATTTTCTTGGGCCGACTTGTGACTTTTCAAGATGACTTTATCATATCCCTGAAAAGCAATTCTGCTAGAGAAAATTCCAGAAAATTAGTAATTCTAGATTATGTAATACTTCCATGATGATAGGATTTCGTTATTATGGTAACAACGCATAAGAGCAAGCTGTTCCTGGCGGTAGGTATATTACATGCTAATGCTGAGTAGCTGGCCGTTGAGCTTATCAGATGAAGCCTCTGTGTGGCAAATAACGCCAGCTGTTAAAGGTCATCAAGTTATGGGGCTGGCCCAGGGGCTGAGTGGTTAAGTTTGTGTGCTCTGCTTTGGCTGCTCAGGGTTTCGCCAGTTCCGATCCTGGCCACGGACATAGCACCGCTCATCAGGCCACGCTGAGATGGCGTCCCACATAGCACAACCAGAGGTGCTCACAACTAGGATACACAACTGTGTACTGGGGGGCTTCGGGCAGAAGAAGAAGAAAAAAGAAAGACTGGCAACAGATGTTAGCTGAGGTGCCAATCTTAAAACAAAGTTACCAAGTTGTAGTGACAGACCAGAACCGCCCCCTGCCCTGTACCCTTTTAACCTAGGATTTCCTGTATTGTGTTTAAGTGTTTCATGTTTGAATCCTACATGACGCATTTCTGAAAAGCTTTTCCTGCCTTTAATTTAATATAAAGTAAAATAGGAAAAGGATTTAAACTGTAAGGATCAAGGAGAAACTATCAAATCAAGAAAAAACACCCCAGCTTGACGCCTGTTGAAATCTACACTGTGAAGTTCTCTGGACCCCTGTGCACTCTCCTAGGATCCTCCCTTACCTGATGCTTTATAATATCAATTTGTAACTTGACATCTTCTGACTTTCTAAGTATTTTAGATGTTCTGTTTTGGCTAAAAATAATACGTATTTAATTTCTCACTTTGCTAAAAGCGACTGTGTGGTCATATTAGCGAAATGAGTTTTGCTAAATCATGTAACTTCAATTTTTAATGGCTGTTATGCATGTGCATGATGTCACTTTCCAGCTAGGTGGACAGACTCTCTTAAAAAAAGTAGAGGACGGACTCTCTTAAAAATGAAGTTGCCCCAGCACTTTGTATTCCTCTGGGTGTGTTGTGAAAGCCGCTCTCCTGTAGTCTGAGGGCAGCTCCGAGCTACTCCAGACCAGTGGAAATGGAATGGAAATATGAGTTCAAGGAGGAAAAAAGAACAGTGTAAAATGTCCTGCTATTAGAAAAGAACTTGTTTATGTATTTTATAAATGGTTGATGATGGATATTAAAATGTTCTGGTGTTTACATTCCGTTGGGTAAATTTAAAGGAATGATAGAATGGTTTTATTTCAACCTATAAATATAATATGCTAGAAACTACATCCGTTCTAATTTTCACTGAAAAGTTTTAGATGTCAACTTAAAAAATGCAAGGAGTGCATCATTTTTCAAAATTCTTTTAAGGGGTTTGTGAGCACCAAAGTATGATCAGTGGCTTTGAAACTTTTTTGCCTTCAACCCAAAGTAAGAAATACATTTCATATCATGACCTAGCACACGCACCCAAAGACGAGAGTTGATAAAACATTACTTACTATGTGTGATGTTCTCTGATAATCTTTTTGCTTCCTTTTCCCTTTCTTTGGATGAGAGGTTGGAGCATAAATTGCAGAGTGGAGATAAAATTTATGTTAATGCTTTAATTAATTGGCTTTCCAGCTGTTCGGTGGAGTGATATCAGTTTAAATATCTTCCCTTGCTCTTCTCTCACTTGTCCTCTTGGATATCTATATCTTTCCCCCATTACCAATATCACAAACCTTCAAAAATAAAAAACCCAGGTGGGATGGAAAAACGGGAAGAATCTTTGGGTAATCCTAATTGGTAATCTAAAGTTAATGGATAAATTTTAAAAGAGGATAAAATCATATCTCTGACACAAGTATAAAATCTGTCAAAGACTTTATTGAACTCATTAATTAAAGAGGGAACTTTAAGATATTACGACTGGTTCACAAGAGAACTCAGAGTATCACCACACATTTTTAGTCTCATAAAGGAATGTTGAATTTATAAATGGTGCAAAACTGGTCACTATCCCCAGGGCAGTAATTAATGCATTCTACCAGGTATATTTCTGTGGACAGGAATTATTTGCATGACTGTCAGTTTTATACAAGTTATCTCCTGCAGAGTTATAACATTACTTAGTCAAAGACAAACAAAGGTGGAGATAACCTGGATGGATGAGCTAGCCAGAATATCCGCTAAATTCCAAAGTCTTTCACAACTTTTTTGTTTTTCTTTTTTTGGTGAGGAAGATTGGCCCTGAGCTAACATCTGTTGCCAGTCTTCCTCTTTTTGCTTGAGGAAGATTGTCCCTGAGCTAACATCTATGCCAGTCTTCCTCTATTTTATATGTGGGATGCTGCCACAGCATAGCATCACTTGAGCAGCGTGTGGGTCCGTGCCCAGGATCCAGACCTGCAAACCCTGGGCCACTGAAGTGGAGTGTGCAGACTTCACCACTATGCCACTGGGCCAGCCCCCACAATGTTTTCTTATATGGATTAGATTTAGGCTATTAAACACTTTCCTATCCTGGGTCTAAAATTTTGCCTCCTGAAGGCCAAGTCTCATTTGTAGAGGATTTATTCAATCTGCAGAGTATTTTTTTTTAATTCAATCTGCAGAGTATTTTTAAAAATTTTGAATTTGTTGCCGTCATCCAAAAACTAGGTTTTTTTTATAATAGTTTTGAGAAATCAGACTTGGTGACACAGGGTCCACATTCCTTCATGGAACAGTGGTTGGAGCTGCCAAAGGTATCTTCTCTATATATTTTTTAATTTTTAAAAATCTTTATTTTTTATTGTAAAATAGTGCATAGTATTTAGAAAAAAAGGAGATACTACAAAAGAACCGTAAAGTGAATATAAATTGATCCTGCATCCTGGTAGCAACAACTATTAGGTTTGGTGTATATTTTTTCATCCTTTTTTCTAAGAATATACAAACTTATCCCCTTCTTGTACACACAAAATGGAAAATATTTTTATAATTAGAAAGCCTGCTAGTTTCATTTGAAAAAGCAAATAAATTAGAAAAACTACTAGAAAGGATAAAATAGTATAAAACAGCTACAATAGAAAGACATACCGTAAAGAATATATAAAAAAGATTAAAACAAAAAATTATGAGTAAATCATATTAGCCCAAATCATATATTAAAAAATAGTTTGAAGAAAAATAAATGATTTTAGCTAAAAGGTTCTCTCTTCAAGTGGCCCGGGTGACAACAAGAGCAGCAGTTCTGAGTCCAAGTCCCGTAGTCCCCACGCAGGTAGTAAAGGGGAGGGACGTTCAGACGAGGCAACTTGAGACCTTCAAGCTGCATTCCACAGAGGTTCCCAGGTGCCCTGAGGTCGTCTTCAGGGGCGGTGATGCCCTAACCATAGCTTCAGCTTGTCCTGTTTTTTTCGTGTGTGGTGGTGTTTTTTTACCTACCTCGGCCATGACAGCTAGTACAAATCTGATTCCCAGCTTTCCCAGCTCAAAACCTTTGAAAGCTCTTTGACTGGTTCCTGCATCAAGACCTCACAAGCCTTGTTTTGGCGAAGGGCTCCTCCTCTGACTCGCTGGGCATCTCCCTCCTTCCTTCCCTAGACGTGCCTTCTTTAGACAGGTCTGTGCTCTCCTTCACTCCTTCTGTCCCATGCTAGGCTGGTTCCACTCGTAGTTATCTGCCTGGCATTCGAACTTACCACCTCTGGATTATACTGAAGAGCTCGGTTGTTTCTGCAGTTTTGAAACGTAAAATAATATATTTGCATTAATATTTTAGTCCTGGTATGACAGCCAAGTATGATGTTTTTGAAAATTTCAAAGAAGTGAGAGTATACACATAATTTTGGTGATAATTAAGGGGATGTATTTCCATAGTATAATTTGAGATCTTAGAGATCATGATCTCAATATTTTTTCTTTGAAATACCACTGATGTTTGTGATTTCAGCTACCGTTTATATGCTAACAACTCCCAAATTCCAACTTACTCCTTTCGCTGGAGCACTAGGTCTTATTTTTCCAACTACATTTTACGTATTTCCGTTTGGACCAGACACTGTTTCCCCACATCTAACTTGTCTGAAATGGAATTCTTTGTTTTTTTCTCCTCTTAAACTTCCCTTTCCTACTGTCGTTATCTTACTCATAATGTCTCTTTCTTCAGTCCTTCAGGCTTGAAACTTCAGTCAACCTTTATTAATGCCTTTCCATCAGTATTTTGTAGACTTGAGAGTCACTAGGTCCTGTTCCATATTTCTGTACATCCCTTCTTTTTCATTCAAGCTTCTCTCATCTTGATCTAATGTCTTTTGCTACAACTTTGTAATGTCTTGACTACATACTCTCAATCAACTTCTCCAGCATATTATTTGAAATCCAGTCTTTCTGAAACACTACTTTCCTCAAGATCCTAGTCTATACAATAATAGTAAACAAATCCTGGTGTGCCACTCTAGGTATTCTAACATTTTCCTGACTTTTCAGCCCTTCTAATAATTTGTCTCTACCTTTCTTTTGCAGTTTTAGTTTCTGTTGCTTATCTGCGTGCCTCTAGTGAGGTTAGTCCTTTGCCGTCCTCTAAAGATGCTGTGCTCTTTGTTCACAGTGACCCTTCTTACAGGAGAGGCCTTCCTTCTCTTCTTTGTTTATATTTGTCCCCTAACCATCGGATGAAATTAACCTCAAGGTCACCTATTTGTGAAGTTCATGTGGGCTGTTCTGATTCTCCTTGGTCCTTCTGGAATATTGTATCCTGTTTAATGCTATTTTTGGTAATGTAATCTTGTCTCTCAAGATTAAAACTACCACAAGCATGGACCATTGTCTTTTTTGGTATCTCTCAGAAGAAATTAGTAAACTTGTTATCTAAATTTGTATTATTTTTGCATAACCATGCAATTCACAACCCACCATACAGAATAAGAGGAGGAAGATTAAACGTTCAGGATTTCAATTTTTCAGTAGTATTAAATTTACATATTTATTGGATTTTGGCACAAATATGAAGGAAAAAATATGTGTGTGTATTACTCTTACAGTTAAGTGGCTTCTGTTTATCAATCACACATAGAATTTCAGTCTGATATATTTACGTTATCTAGTAGTCTGTGAAA